TATTATATTTTTTAAAAATTCTTTTATAATTAATTTTATTTGAATATGAAATTAAATAATGTATACATCATAAACTGAATATTATGTAAAAAAATATCAAATAATCAATTTTATCAAAAAAAAAACTCCAAAAATCACCAAAAAACTCCTAAAAACTAATTTGGCTAAGCTTTTTTAAAAAAGCCCAAGTTTTTTTTAGCTCCGAAATCATACTTTTAATAATGACGGATTCCTATTTAACTTCTTATTTTAAGAAAAAACTCAATCGAGTCCTTGGTTTTTCTAGTTTCAGTTTATTTCCCTCTTTTTTATATGTGAATAAAAATCTAATATCTTATTTTTATGAACAACTTTAGAATTTGTCAGAAAAGTTGAACGACAAAACTATAACGTGCAATTCATATTCGCGAAAAGGAAGCAGTCACACAATGAAAAAAGCGCGTACACGATACGCAGTTAAATTCGTGAGAAGAGCTCATTATCATTACTCGGTCAAAGTAAATCTGAATTTTGCAAACGTGCGCGCTCACACGATGCACTTTCTATTTCTAGCATATATATGCGCGCCTTTCGCGCCATATCAGATCGGTCGGCCGGTATCATAACGCTCTTCATGCGGCCACTCGCCGTGACTTTCTATTCCAAGCATAACTCGTCAGGCTGATCATTCTTAATAAGAGAGGTCGAGTCGATCGTTGATGTGTGGTTACCGCGAAATCACGGCACGATTATTCGACGGAGACGCGCAGTCAGGTGTATAGAATCACCGCGAGATCCAGTTATTTGCTTTTCTTACACGAGAAGTTATGATACGGAAATGTTATAAGCAACGGAATCATCAGTAATTACGCGATGAGAACAATATGAGAAATTACATGTCTTCAAAAAAAGTCTTTAACAAACATCAGTAATAATCGCTCTCTATCTCAATTTCCTTTCCATCAACTTTAATATCTTTCTTTAAAAAAATTTTTTTTATTAACTTCTTTTTACTACACTTCGGCAATTATATAATTAGCCCAAAGAGATATGTAATAATAAATAATAAATGAAAGATCACAGAATCCTAAGAGGTTGCATATAAGGCACAGTCGAAAATGCGCAAAACTGGTGGAGGGTCACAGTCTACTTAGCGATATGAACTCGAAATCTAAGAAGGAATGCATATCAAGGCCGATCTCTCGGTGCGCGCGCATTTCCACCCACTGTTCTCTCTTATCGTTCGGTAAACTCGGGGCTAATTAGAACTCGAGCGTAAAACAGCAAGTTCGTCGCTCGTGCTCAAAACACACTCGCGGTTGCAAAGAATCGAAGCCGATTTCAACGGTATTTCAGTCGCGTTGTCAACCTTCCGTGACGAATTATTAATTGCCAACGGGCTGAATTTTAATACTGTAAATATTTCAATCGGGGATTCCAATCATCGCAATTAGTTAAGCGAAGTTTAACTAGTAATAAGTTAAACGAAGAACTTTGACAATTTAAGACAGTAAAATTTTTAGATGTGATTTATTTATGCATAAAAACCAAGAAGAACAATGGAAAAGAAAGAGATAAAAAATACTGCGCTCTTAATAATTTAAAAGATTCGAAATTTTTGAATCCAAAAATTTTAAATCCTCAGATTTAAAAAATATATTTTAATTTTTAAACAATTATAATTTAGAACATAGACTGAGAATAAATTAATTAAGAGAAATATATATATATATA